GTACGGGTGATTTCTGGATCTCGACAACAGCGCCACCTACCGGGTCCAATAATGAATTACATTTCAATCATTTCTCCAATTATTACATGGTAGAGCCACGCTGCAGCTATATCACTAGTATAGTTGTAGCACGAATGGGTCTGCTCGACCGGGGAAAAACCATGCTCTCACAGAATACCAGCGTAAAATAGCAGCTTACTGCTGCTGTGTTTCGTATGGTGAGTGAAGAGAACTGGAGTTAGTGTTGCCCAAAATCGGTCTTGGTCTTGCAGTCTTGGTCTTGTTCTTGCATTTTTGCAAGACCAAGACCAAGAACAAGACCGCCTCTTTTTAGCGAGACCAAGACCAAGACTGACCGTGCAAGATTTGCGCAAGAACAAGACTAAGCTTGCGAGACTCTTGCGTCTTGCAGTTAGGACTAAGTGTCGTTTCAGGGAGTATAGGAGTTCGGGTATACGCTTAGGGACTCTATGAGACGCAAAAAATATAATGAAAAAAAAAATTGGAAAATTGGACTTATGCGCATTACGAACAATACCATAAATAGACATAGCGAATGAAAATATCCATTAAAAAAAAAAGAGTGCATCCCTAGTTTTGATCATCGGCACTTTGATAGTGCGCGGCGTCTTGTTGTCGGCGTCATCAAAGATCGGATACTGACCTGTCACAGAAATTGTGCAGCTATTCGAAAGTACAAGGTCAAGATACACGTGCCGGCGGCTACTATTGATATCGCATACAATCGTCGCCGCCGCGCCACACGCACTACATTTGACACTGTTTGATTGCCGCCACAGAGTACATATTTCAAAGAATAAAATAAGTTTCCGGGTGCTCAGAATGGACACGAATACATTATCCTGATCTCGCAAGAAATATTGTAATTAGATAATAGGTAGGTATCATAATAATTTATTCTAGTAACTAATTATTATAAAATTAACTATATGGATTTATAATAATTACTTACTATTATTGTTATTATTATTACCTAAAAGATAAACATGTTCAGTAAGTTCACTGCAAATCTCGACCTTTGCAAGTGTGTGTTTTTAAAACACAAAGTGCTCGAATATGTCGTCACACATTTGATAAATATGGTTGACAGCATAGCACTTTTAAAACACTTGAAATGTGTAAAAATGGATCTGGATCTTGTTTTCAAGGCTTAGTTATTAAGGAGTTGGAGGGGTGCCTAGGTAAACCCAGAGCCGTCATCTCGGAAGACATTTTAGACTGTTGGAGGACGCATGAGACAAAATATCCGATTTTATCGAAGATGGCCCGTGATTTTCTTTTAATACCTGCAAATGCAGTCCCTGCTGAGAGATTATTTTCTAAAGCATCATTAGTAATTAGAAAACATAGAAATAGGTTAAGTGATGAGTCAGCCAGATGGTTACTTTGTATTAATGCTTTGTCAAAAGAATAAATATAAAGTAACAGTAATGTCAAAGCTGTTCTGTACATATTGTGAAGTAATTTAATTTGCATCGTATTTTATTTTTTATTTAAATAAATGGTATATTGTATAACTCTTTTAGTCCATTTCATATATGGTGAGGGTCCATCAATCTCTTTCTAGAGAGATAATGTTATTTAAAATACAGTGTAGTTATTGCCATTAATTTGTTTTTATATGTATGTTTAACCATGTTTTAGCACATGTAAGCTTATTAAATGTAAACGTTTATTAAGAAACTGACGCCCGTGGCCGTGGGACACGGTAGATAGCTCAGTTGGTTAGAGCACGGATCGCTTAGGTCGTGGGTTCAAACCCCACCCGGTGTCAGTTGATTTTTCGAATTTCTCATTAAATGTTTAGACATTTATTAATATGGTTGGTTTTTACTATGGCTTCGTTAATTCAAGCTCAATATGTACCTACTCTATTTAGTTGTTCTAAGATCTAAAGTAACGTTTAATAAATAGTAATAGGCTAATAGGTCATTGCGAGACTTGTGAGACTCTTGCTGCAAGACCAAGACCAAGACCAAGACTGGGAGCGCAATACCAAGACCAAGACCAAGACCAGGTGTATTGGCGCAAGACCAAGACCAAGACTTGCTAAGTCTCGTCTTGTTCTTGCATTTGGGCAACACTAACTGGAGTAAATTGAAATTTGAAACATAAAAGATTTCATCAGAATCAGTTGAGCCAGTTTCGAGTTGTAGCGCGATTAACGGACAGCAATTTATTTTTATACATAGAGATTAGCTTTATTAAAGTTATTAATTCATACCTGTATTGTTTGTACTACCTACATATGCGAATTATTAATTTAGTGAAGGCGTAAGTGAATTCCATCAACCTCTCTCGTCTCGTGAATATCTTAAGAGGCGTCTATGGGAAATCCCAGAAAGATCCTATAGCCTCCATAGATGGCGGAATAACCATATCATATTCGTTTTCTTTTATAGGATAAGGGTGACAAACGAGCACACAGTCCACTATATACTACTAATGTAGCTGTAGCATGGTTCTACCACGTGTAAAACGTGTAACAAGCCAGATATAAAAAAAACTAAACCGGTAACGGAGGATGACATACCTCTAGTACGAGAAGTCACCGGACTTCTGATAACGCGATCGATAATACATAAAATAATGGGTCGTAAAATCGTTCCTAAGATAGGATTCCTGACCCACAGTGGGATATCGTAAGATGATTAAAGCTCAGTTCAGATTAGACTGTGAATGTTCCTTCAGATTCTTGAGAAAACGAAAATGTTTCTGAAATCATATTTTATTTTATTAATATAAGGTACTCAAAGACTGTACAAAATAAAGTTTACATAAAATACATTGAAGGTTAGTTAAAAAGTTAATTTCTAATTCTTTACTTCATCAACGTCGGGCAAATACAACAAAAGTTAGTAGAATTATTAACTGCAAGGAATTTATTAGCAACGTTATACAACCCTCAAATAGATACTTAGTAAGTCCCCCCCTACTTCCCCCCTCCCTTGTGACATTAAAACATTGAGCAGGCTGGCTAAATTAAAGCGCGCCAAAACTGTTGTCTGTGGGCCCAAGGCGATCGTTTGTTTTAATACAATAACCGTACTCATCTCCCTCACTCCGTTCATTAGAACTGTATATCTGTCTCACTCCAACAACGTGATTTAATCTTTTCGCTAGACGACACTGCGGCTTTATTGATATAGTAAGGAAAGCTGTCAGTTCGTCGTAACTTAGTTAATTGAGTTTAATGTCTTGTGTAATTTCAAGCCTTAACTTATTATTTTTTAGTTATTATAAACCAATACTTGATTACAATCCCACCTGATGGTAAGTGGTGATGAAGCACTAGATAGTCTTAGAGTAACAAAACCTTCACACTCTTGCATTAAAAACGCTCAGTTTATAATCGGACGGAAAGACAGACGCCGGCAATTTATTCCACTCCTATACCTATGCCGTACCTACGCATTACGAAAGACGAAGCAAACCGTATGGTTCCAATGCGTTCCATCGATAACAAAGGCGTGGAAACTTGCCACCGCCAGGCAGTCTGCTGGTGTGAAGGAGAGAGAGGAATTAAGGCAAGTAATTCTTACACACATATTTATAAATGTATCCTATAGAATGCTATAAGGACCAAGGCACTGGCTACTACGCCTGGGTTTGAGGCTGACGAGATTGGTTTCAAATCACGGTTACCAATAATCTAACCTATATGAATTACCATCAACAGTAGCAACCCAAAAACATTGTTTTGACATTTATCAAATTTATCTCGCTTTATTTACCTACAATAAATGGCATCATACATTATAAATATTTTAGGCTGTTTTTCGTTGCTTGTCTGATTATTTTTTATTCTATGTTATTAATGAGTCGAATCCATCTGTTGAAGACCATAATAATGTTTGGCATGTTCCAAGTGCGTATCCGCTTACGTATGACGCTCAAGGGATAAGATGGTGGATCTCTGATATCCTTTTCGACATTTTTATTAAGAATAATAAAATAATAATATAAAATCGTTTTAACCAAATTGAAAGGAACAATGTTACCATGTATTCAACGTAACAGAAGCGCGCTTCTCTTAATCACTTCTAATTTATTTAGCTCTAAAGTCGGAGTGGTTAATTTATGGCTGTCCCTTTTCAACCCCTATACGATAGCGGTCGTGTCGTCTCGTTCTCTCGGGACCATTTTTAATTAAAATCACCCAGAGAAAATTAGAAATTATATTCTATTTTACAAAAACTTGTTCTGACGCTTTGTCGGAGATTATCTCTTTTTTATGAGCCCCCAGTCGCGGCTTTGTTTTAACGGCCGAGGAATTGTCTAAATGGAGTTTTGTTGACTGGCCGATGCCTTTTACGGTTATATCTTGTTCAATTTAATCGATTGAAAAATCTTTTCTGTTAAATGTAGACAATTAGATAATTGGAAATGTTACATTGATTATCTAATTCACTTTTAGATAATTATAACGATGCTCATTTAATCATCATATTCATTTAGTCATTTTATTTTGATAATCAATTAATTTTAACTTCGATTCCAAAGACAGCGATAACTTTTGGCTATCGTAAGATATAGAATTTAAAGACCTTAGGCTTTGGCTTCATAGACTTTGCCTTGCAAAGACAGACACTCGCCGTTCCTTATCTGTTTCTAATCAATACAATTCAATATTAATGCAGTGTTCAGAATCCTTACTATGTTGTAGAGGTATAAATATAGGCCGGATGGATATTAAATTAGTTTGTCTTTAATCATCATTGTAATCATTCGTAAGTCCTCAGGGATTTCTCTAAAATAGATCTCGCTAAAACTGTTCTTACTGAATACTTTCGATTAAAATTATTACGAACTAAATACAATTACAAAATTTCAAAATATTAGTGATATTCATTCTTCTCACGGAACCCTTTCTTGCACGTGTCGCAATACGCACTTTACAAATGTTTAAAAATAATTTACATATTATGTGACAATTAATTATTTTCTTTATATCATAGTCATTTTTTTTATTCCAACAGGTGGAGTAGGCGATGACGACGGCGACAGTGGGAAGCGTCGCCGCTCTCGCACCAACTTCAACTCTTGGCAGCTGGAGGAGCTGGAGAGAGCTTTTTTGGCCTCCCACTACCCCGATGTGTTCATGCGAGAAGCGCTTGCGATGCGCCTCGATCTGAAAGAAAGCCGAGTGGCGGTGAGTCGAATGAAATTATATTTGTTTATTATCTTAAATTACCTATTTTAATTAATATAGAATCAGGCGTTATTACGGAAATTCATTATATTAAATAAGTTAAAATTAAGTTACTAGTTTGAGGTGATCTTCAAATTAGGTAAGACATATCGTTTATTTTTTTGCGAATCTGAATTAATTAATTAACACCTTTGTTTAAATTATTTTAACAAAGTGACTATCTTTTTCCTAAATATCGGTCTGTAAAATCTGGTATATTTTCCGGAGGGCTTGCTACACTCAATTGGCAGGCGGATTGGCCATCTCAGTACCAGAAGTCACGTATATTTGAAGCCGCTGCACTTGGTCGGTAGGTTTTACGCCAACATGATGGTTTTTCGCCGAATGTAGGAACCCACAATATTTTTTAGTCATTTCTGAAAGTAACCTCTAACGAAACCTGCGGGACAAAAAAGGTTAATAGACTCCATTATGCCGCCACCACATGGCAAAGCAAATTCAATAAGGGAGAATATGTCAATTTTTCTCCAAGTGGAAAACGGACTGCTTCCGTGGCAGAGAATCCGTTCAAAACCGCTAAACCAAAATTTCCAACACATGTTTAAATGAGCAGTAGTACCTGTGTGAGGATATCACCTCCACACTCACAAATCCACCTGCCCAGCATGGCCAATTTAGGCACACCTTCCAAGTAATGCTAAATAACGCTTTCTTGTAAAGGCTGTTTACGTCGTAATAACTTAAAAAGTAACTTCAACTATTATTAAGTTTTACTTTTTCAACTAATGCGTATTATTTTATTTTACGAGCTGAAAATTTCGGGAATCAAGGAAGTGACACAACATTACTATTTAAAAATGTATTTATTGCTTTTCGAAGTATTCTCCGCGAAATTTGACACATTTTTCCATACGATGGAACCAATCATTGAAGCAACCATTCCATTCGAAAGTTGGTGTCTCCAAAATGGCCGTTTTGTAGGCGTGCACAGCTTCTTCAGGTGATGAAAATCTCTGTACACGCAATTTACTCTTTATTTTAGGGAAAGTATAGAAATCATTAGGGCTTAGGTCGGGGCTGTACGGCGGATGGTCTAATAATTATATGTTTTCTTGCTCTAAAAACTCTTTTGTTCTGTGTGCGGTGTGAGAACTCGCATTGTCGTGATGGAGGATGATGCGGCGGCTGCAGTTCTCTTTACGGAGTTTAGAAACGACCTGTGGCAAACAAATGCTAGCATACCATTCTGCATTAACCTTTCTTTGTCCCTCAAGAGGAATAGTTGTAACATGGCCGGTTTTGGAGACAAACGTGGCCACCATTTTTTTTGCAACAATCCGTGAACGAACAATTTATTTTTGTTAGCTTTAACTCATTTTCGAACACCCAAACTCGTGACTGGTTTTTTGTTTCGGGTTCGTACGCGTATATCCAGGATTCGTCACCTGATACAATGTTGTATACAGTATTTGAGGATCCTGCGTGGAATCTTTCGAGAGTTCTGATGCACCAAGTAACGCGAGCCGCTTTTTGCTCTTCACAGAGCGAATGCGGTATCCATCGGGAAAACAACTTTTTTACACCTAATTGTTCATGCAAGATTATTTGTGTTTGACTCATGCCAATGTCTAAAGTTGCCTAAATTTCGTGGTATGTCACATGTCGATCTTCCTCAATCAGCTTATGCACAGCATCAACGTTTTCTTGGGTGACTGCAAATTTTGGACCACCATGACGGGGATCATCACTGAGCTTGACACGTCCACGTTGAAATTCAGCAAACCAGCGATAAATTGTGGTTTTGGATGGGGCTTCATTACCAAATGCAGAAATCATTCGGTTAACACATTGTTTTTGTGTTAAACCACTTCGAAAGTCATAATAAATCATCGCTCTTGAATTTTCTCGAGTCAATTCCATTTTCTCAACGACTAAACAAGTTTGACAAAACCTTGTGACAAGACCGAGAATCTTTTTTTAAACAAATAAATGGTATTCGATTTTTAAAACCAAGGAATTTTCAATTAAATAGATTTTAATATGACAGGAACAGTGGAAATATTCCATTCCCGATTCTTTTAGTGCAGCATATGTATTTAAAGAATTTAGATAAGGAATTATGGTAATCTTCAAGATATTTATAATTAGACTTGGAGAAAGGAAAAGGTTCTCAATTCGAGTGTATATTTTTCTGTATGTTACGCGAAACCTTAGTCTAATTGTAAAGCAATTTGAACAATGTTTTTTTATTAAGAAGATTAGTAGTTCAGTGTTGATTCCATAAAAATTTGGAAAACAATTGTATCCTTAAAGTTGGGAAAATATTTTGAATTTACGTAACTGTTTTGACGACATTATACATGTTATTCCTATTCATCGTAAAATGTTTATAAAAATAAAAATAAATTATTTTTAAAATCAATTTAGTAAAAAAAGAATTTTATGAAGCTTAACAATAACATAAGCGATACGACAATTATCTAGTTACGACTAAAATGCATCGATGGAATGACAGGCACAGGAAACACGTCTTAAAATGGCAACATTAAAGTTACGAGCAACGTTACGCCCTGTCTGGTCACGGTGCTTAAACAATGCATTATCCTTTGCGACGTCACGTGTATCGGTTATGAAATATATTTAGAATATTTTACTTTTAACGGGCGCTGCGTTAAGTTTCACGCCTAACGTCTCAATCCTCTTTAACTTCTACGCTTTTGCTTTCTTGTCTTAAAAAAAAAGTTCAAAAGCGTAGAAGTTAAGTGCACATGTTAATAATAGGTAACAAATTCATATTTGTTTTTGAAATGCAATGAAGCAGCACATATTTTACGTAACACAGACTTATGAACGAAATGTCAAATGCCTGGTAATAAAGACGCGTATAATTTCCACAGATACAATGGAACGGTCCCAAAAAAACTCACGTGTTTCGTAAGTCATTCTTAATAATCCAACTCTACAACGCTATGTTTCGTCCACAAATACTATGTGGTCATTGGAAATATGTATTGTCATTTAATACGTTATGCATTCTGCTTTTTGCAAAATATTACTATATAATTTAAAATTAAAAATTTTGTACAGCCGACTTTAATATAAGTTATTAAGAATAACTCAAAAACTATTGGTCTGACCTTGATCAAATTCAAATGGGACCACACGAGAAGTATCAGCTTTCATATAAAAGAAGAATCATCGAAATCAAAAACACATTAAAAAAAAAACAAAAAAAACATACAGTCGAATTGAGTACCGTCTCCTTTTTGAAAGTCGGCAGAAGAAGGCATAAGGACTAGTATAATTATAGGGTATGTGGCTTTCTATCTTAGTCCTTGGAGATGACAACGCATTAGTAACCTTCCTTGTTTGAAGTTGGCTACAGGCGTCCATGAACTGCAGTTGCCTCTTACCATCAGGTAAACTGTAAGTTCGTTTGTCACTTCAGTTTTATTTAAAAAAAAAATGTAATTACTAAAAACGTTACTCAACATGATGCAACAAAGTTCTAAAGTTCGCCACTTTACTAACGAGTCATGGAACTCTACATAGTATAAAACAAAGTCTGTACGCTTAGATCTTTTAAACTATACAACGGATTTTAATGCAGTTTTCATGAATAGACATAATAATTTAAGAGAAAAGGTTTAAAGGTGTAATACATTCATATTTTAATTTATATAGTTATTCTGTCCGTGTGTATGTGACTGAACTTCTTCTAAACGGCTCGTCCGATTTTCATGAAATTTTATGTGTATGGTTAAGTTGATTCGAGTATGGTTTGATTCACACCCGTTTCGAAATCCAGAAACCACCGGTGCGAAACAGGAGCAGATCGCTACTTATTATATAATTTACTTATTTTCTGCTAGCTTATAAAACTGCTGGATAACTGCACGATAGAAAAATCTAGACAATCTATCTACAACGACAGTATTCCTTTTATTTCTGATAAAGTAAATAATCAGGAAAAAGTCCAAAAAACTAGTCCAATAAGAGTTTACGGTATACACCTAACTGCGAAATATATTTATTTTCGTACTCGTTTTGAATCTTTAACTAAGATTCTTTTCTTGATCACTAAATGATAGATCACTTCTTAAGTTACAGTTTCTTTTTGCAGCACCGGGAATCGAAGTTAAAATACGTTCTTACTTTGAAATTAAGCCTGAGTGAGAGTTCGGACCTTTTTAATCGAGTGCAAAAAAAGGAGGAGGTTGTCAATTCGACTGTATGCTTTTTCCTATTTTGTATGATTTCATTATATGTTACAATAAGTATATATTATATTTATATAATTTTGAAATGAAAATTTCGTCTCTAAGGGAGGAAAAGGATTATTACGTTTTTAATGTATCTAACTATTTTTATGCGAGCAGGTTTTACAGATCTAATAAGACCAGTATCCCTGCGACCAAAACTGGTCGCAGGGATACTGGTCTTATTAGACCTGTACCTCTGCGTGAACTATAGCCATAGCGAGCACAGTAGATCAAAAGATCTACTATGATCTTTTGATCTACTGTGCTCGCTATGGATATAGTTTACATCTAAGCCCTCAATCTTTAATCAATATAAAGAGTTGCGTAGCTATGAGCATTATCACTTTTTTTGGGCTTGCCTGTTGTTGCAACCCACGGCGCTTAAACGGTTAACGCAGTCTTCCACTAGCTTTGGGGTCACTAAGACCTAAGTGCTATCAATTCTGCTTAAATGTAACTACGAATCGTATTGAGAAGGCATTCTCCTTCTTATCTTAACCCAATGATATTTTTAGTTCACTCAAAAGGTTTAAAAAATGCAACTTTTAATAAAAAGTATAAGCCGACTTCAAAAAAGCTTCTGAAGTCAGGGCTTGAATTCTTTTATACACCTTGTGTTTATTCGAGTTTATTCTGTTTAGATCTTTGAGGTTTGTTAAAGTTTTGTGTATGTATGTGTTATGTGTATAGTTATTCTTATAAAGTAAAGAAAATTAACATTCTATATACTTTCCACTG